CTCTCGGGCTCTCCAGTCGACGAATCATGTTATGGATGGGAATCAGGGAGTTTCGGTTGGTGCGATATTGCTGCCGGTGCAGTTGTGGTAGCGATTGGCACCCGTTGTTCATTGACGCTCAGCAACCCCACAACAGACGGGTCCTCTGACAGACCGGGCAAGGTGGACAGCTGTTTAATTTCCTCTGTCTCCAAAGCAGCTATACCAAAAGCCCACCAGTACCCTTTTGGGTCCTTGAAATACCCTCTCCTGAGGTAGTATATGCCAAGGATGCACGGAGCCTCTGGGCCAGTCACAATGGGGTGCCTCTGCCACTCATTCCCGGTGAGGCTCTCTTCGGCCTCCAATACTGGAGCTGTTGGGATCCCCCTGTCACTCCAGAAATACAAATGGGTTCTGCCCCTGTATAACTTGATGGCATTAGGGTGCACTGTGCACCGGTGTCCACTAGAGCCTTCTACTCCTGTGCGTCTGATGTTCCAGGCCATGGAATCCACGCAGTCCAGTAAACCCGGTTGTCCCCTTCCTCCAGCTGGCTGCAGGCAGGGCCCCTCTAACACTGGTCATACTATTTGTGGTTCACTTCTTGTAAATGTGAATCAAAAGTCCCTTGATTAAGATTGGAAGTAAAATCAGCCCTTCTGCTCTGTCTGGGGAACTGCTCACTGGAAACTGGAGCAGTAATTTTCCTGGAAGAACCCTTTTTTGTGATTGTTTTTCCTTGCCGCTCACGTACCCGTGCCTCTGGGGTTGAGGTCCGCATTCTTGTGGAACCTTTTGCTGCCTGATTTTTGAGCAGTAAGAGATAGAAAATGTCCAAAGCATTAGTTTTGGCTATTTCATTTAATTACATGTTGCATGCCTGAATTCTCCACGTGGTCTGGTAATTACTGGTCTAGTAAGTACTAGTTATTACTTCCTTTTCTAAACTAGCTGTGGACAGTAACTATTAAATAGCAGCCACTTTCAAACTAATGCTAGTAGTACTGATATCTGAATAATAAATGGAATTGATAAATTGGTATTCCTTTGGGAAAATATGTTAATGATCTTAAAACACCAAAATGGTAATTGGTAAGTAATCTTGAGTCTTTACATGTGCAGAATGCATCTTGCATAATTTTGTCTCAAAGTTTCAGTATATATGGTAATGACCTTGATGAACAAACTTTTTTTCTTTAATTAGTTACAGAGGTTACGACTGTCGAAGCAATTTATTTTACACTCAGACGGGTGAAATTGTATACCATGTTGCAGCAGTGGGAGTGGTGTACAATCGACAGCAGAACATACAGCGCTTTTATCTAGGTCATGATGATGACATTCTTTGCCTTGCTATTCATCCCTTAAAGGACTATGTGGCAACAGGCCAGGTAGGATGTGTGCTTATCTGCAATAAGAAACTGAAGTTGTTACTACTGAATTTAGAAAAGCCTATTTTGGAGGAAGGAAGTCCAGTCTACATTTATTCAGGTGAAGGAATGCATTTCTGTTGCAGATGGAATCGTGTTAAAAAACTGCAACATAAGTGGTTTTTCTAGTTCTTTATGTTAATTCTGGTAAGAGTCTTTAGTTGATAGGTTTTTTGAACTTTTTTATTTAAGAATAGATTCATATTTTTTATTCAGCATTATGTTGCTTTTTCATGATAACAAGTGGAGGAAATGTGCAATTAAAATTTTTTTAGTATCTTAGTTTTGAAGTTAGCTATGTTATTATTACATTCATGTATTACATAACATGAAGTTAGCAGTTATTACATTCTGGCATTTCAGTTTCATGCATTATGTTTTTGGTTATCACCTGTAGCCAAACTGTTTGCTGTTTGTACATGCAACACAGGTATGTATGTTGCTAAAGTATTTATAGTAGTTCATTTTATCTTTTGCCAGACAGTAATTCAGGTAAATTTTTTTCACTCAAGTTTTCTGACAAACATCTCTTCCCATAAATGTTTATACAGCAGGACTTGAAGGTTTAATTTGATATTCCAAGCTTTTTTAATTATTATCAATATTATTGTCGTTATCGTTGTTGTTGTTATATAATAAATTGGAGAACGTGAACTGAAATTTTTAATAGAAATAAATTTTGCTTCTAATGCCCTTAATTTGTGTAAAAATGTTTGAGATGAACATAAATTTGCAGGTCAGTTTAGAGATTAAAGCCCTAAATGTGAGAATTGATTCTATTTAATTTTGGAGTAGTAAAGACTATAAATAAAAATGTGCCTGGATTTACTATATTTTAAAATACCTTATGCTATCAACAGAAAGATACACTCCATTATATACTGGTTTATATGTACACCAGTTTATGTTGTTGTGTACTACATTACCTGCAGAAATTAGGTAGTACAGTAATAAAATTCCCCATGCAACACTGGTTCTGCAAGTCTGCAAACAGATTTTCTTGATAACTGACGTTATGAAAAGCTTTGCAAACATCACATATTAAATTTGTGGCAAAACCAGAGACAGATCCTAGTTTTCTTGAGTTCTGCCCCTGGCCTTAAACGCAGGAGAGTGTTCCTCTAGTTTGGCAGCCCTTTTTTGTGTCCTGAGGTGCAAAACCTTTGGAATAGCAAATAATCTTGTACATATTGACTAACAATGCTTGTACATAGTTGAATAAGCTATATTCCATTTCTTACCAAGTTCTAGTTACCTGCATTAGTGCCATTCTAGTGGAGACTACTGCACAGGTATCAGTGCATTAGAATCTGATTTATAGGGACTTGTAATGACACCAGAAAGCAACAGAAGTCACCTTGATTTCTCAAACATAGAGTAGCTTACATACTAGCAATAAAAATAACCTTTTATTTTTAGACAGGGAATGCTTGAATTGAAATGATTGATGGAATAAATATGCCACAGTGCAATCAATGAAGGGTTTTCCCCCCACCCAAGAGGACTCTAGTTAATTGTGATTAATATGCCTAAGTTCTTTGGAGGGAAGAAGGAGCCAGCTGGGCAGTGGTATTTGTAAAGCCAGAGAAGGAATAATATACTGCCAGCCAGGCAGAAGTAATACTAGGCAAATTTTATCACTGTAAATTTTTTCAAATACTTTTTAAAGTATTTGTCAATATTATACTTCTAAACAACTGTGTGAAGTAACTGAGAAATGAAAAAAAAATGGTTATAAATATGTATACTTTCAGGTTGGTCGAGATTCCTCAATACACATTTGGGATACAGAAACAATAAAACCACTCTCAGTATTAAAGGGCTATCACCAGTACGGTGTTTGTGCTGTTGATTTTTCAGGTAATAAGTGTTTATGTATGTATTTATTTATTTATTTATATACTATTTTCCTTTTGTGGAAAATACAGAAAATCAGTTCTAATGAGCAAGTGGGAATTCCTTTACAGTGAAGATACTGTATTAAAAATATTCTTCAGTGATCAATGTCGAATGGGAGAGGCTGTCTTCAAGCGATCATTCTTTAAAAAGAGCTCCTGTGGAGTCTTGCACATCAGGAAATGCAAGAACAGGTTCTGTGTCATTTAATAGCTGAGCTGATTACTTTGGAATTTCTTTTGGTTGTATGAGGCAGGAGCATGGATATTGACTGTTGTGTCTGCAGTACAACTGTGTAAGAGAATTTTTGAGCAAATTGATCAGGTCTGCACTTTTTTTTTTCTTTTTAATTAAATCCTGCAAGCCAATTGAGTAGCACACTGATAAATTCAGAAAATCCAGTTATGGAGTTCTGGGCAGAAACCCAGCCCTTCTCTCCACCCTATACTAACATAAGAGACTGTCAGTTAAATTTTTTGAGGTTTTTGCACCCCACACATTGAATTCCTGTACCAATGTTAAATTTCCCTTTCTCCACTGGCTTCTATTCATTCTTTAATGGTTTGGATTTCCTAGATAGGATGTCTAACCTCACAGTGAAGATGTGTGATCACAGAGATGAGTAGTTTGGGGTCTTTGATGGTTCTTACCCGTCTTTGGTTCACCTTTTTCAAGATGTGAATCTCATTTCCCAAATTCTGGCATGGATGCATAGCAATTTCAAAGATGGATACATGTCAGAAAGTTGTTGATCACAAGTGAGCACAAATAACTTTTTTCTTGGAGGTTAATGTGGGATACGTGTCAGAGCTGCTCAAAGACTTCACACTATTACTAAGTTTAAGGATATTACATAAACTTCATGGTATTGCTTCAGTGCTTTCCTTTCCCTGAACAGGGATTTTCAGAGTGAACAGAAAATTCTCACAGTACAACCTGTGATGAAGGTTTTTGTGCAACTATGTCAGCAGCTAGATGAACAAAGGATTTGCTACAAACACAGAGGATCTAAGTGCAATTTTTAGACAGGGTAACTTGAAGTCCTAAACTCCATCCAACTGACCACTCAAGTTAAAAGCAAACAGATGACAGATGTGCCTCTAGGCACATGTCATACAGTTATTTACCTGTTTGTACATTATTATAATATTTGTGAAGCTATAATATTCTTTAGTATGGTTTCTTATTATTGCAACATAATATTATCTATGTACTCTCTTAATCATAAATTTATTTTTCTAGCGGATGGGAAACGATTGGCTTCTGTTGGAATAGATGACAATCACACTATTGTACTCTGGGATTGGAAGAAAGGAGAAAAGCTTTCAGCAGTAAGGTAGGAATTTAACTTTGTTTTAAAATTTGTACCTGGGTTTACTCTCAAATGACAGTAAGCAAAATATATTCTTTAAAGAATAATAGTTCTCTAATAAATTAGCAGTTTCTATCACTTAAGTGATGCAGGCGATAACATCTAGCACAGCCTTAAAACTTTCTTTGGAAGAAAAAACTGAAGCTCTGATAGAGTCAACAAGAATTCTTACAGTGACAGCTCAACTGGTGAAGAAAGAAGACATAGAAGACAGAGCTGATTTTTGTTTATTTATGTGATGTGTTCCAAAATAATTTCTTTAAAATTCACTCCATGCACTTCTGTTGGCCCTCCCAGAGATGTATGCTCTGCTTTTCAGATCTTTTTCATCAGAGGTCATGTCTTCCTTGGGATAGTTGTTTGCAGCTGTTTTACTCAGTTCTCTTTTCTTCAAGGTTCTTTCCTTTTCCTTTCTGAGTCCTGAGCAGCCTAATCTAACTTTGAAGTTAGTCTGCTTTGAACAGGAAGTTGGACTAAATAACCTCCAAAGGTTAAATATTTTTGAAGTTTCTTTGACTCTGCACGATTATTTCATACACGTTTATTAAATAGCGTTTTAATCTACAAGATAGAATCTGATTTCTGATGCTGAGTCATGTTTTTGAAACGTTTGACTTTGTTGTTTCTCAGGATCTACTACTTCAAATAGAGCAGTAATGTGAGTGGGCTTTTCCCCTCTCTGCCTGGATTCAGTATCTGTACTCTAAATATTGTTCTGCGTAGGTTTGAAAGGGATTTTTTCTCTGCAGATACAATTTTTAAAGTATCAACTTCCTTTTTATCCATTGAGTATTGCTCTTCAATGACATTTACTCTCATTTTCTTTTTAAACACGCTCTGAATTTCTTATCCACCAAGGCATGAAAATCCTGAATATTTGTCACTGTTATTTGTCAGAAGCCCGGTTAGCTTGGCTTCTCTGAAGATACTGGTTTAGGCCTTTCACTTGTCTGCCTTTCAAGTGTGTTTTGGTTTTTGGTTTTGTTTTTTGGTTTTTTTTTTTTAATTCCCTCTACTCTCTGAACCCACCAATCTCACTTAATTCTTTTTTTTTTTAATCAAACTTTAACCAGTTTAAACTGGATTTAGTTTCTGGAGTGCTTTTCCTTCTACCTACTCAGAGGAACTGAATACAATTTTTGAGAGCAGCACCTATACTTGGAAGATTATGGTGTGAGTTTGGAAAGAAACTGGCTCATGCTTTTTGTTACTAGTTCATTTAGTGGTCTGAAAATCACAGAAGGTAAAAGGTTATTGCCACTCTTAAACAGGGAGCAAAAATTAAGGATTAGAAGCTCTTCTGCACTTTAAAGAAAAGAAAACCCTACTATAAGCTACTCTTTCCTTGCACAGGTAGCAAACATAGTTGAAAGCTGGTTTTCAAACTATAGGACTGAAGCAAAACATTGGTTCTATAGAAGCATAGTAAGAAATCTAAAACACACAAGTTTTGATGTTTTCTAAAAACTGAAATCTCCATTTAAAATTTATATAGCAGCATATGTTTTAGTCTAGCAAGAAAAATAAAAAAAACAATTAAAAGGTGGATGAGAATGGCAATTTATTTTCAAAACGAGAGACTTTTAAGTAAGATTTACAACTTTACACCTTTCAGTTTCATTATGAGCTGTCAGAGGTCTAAATGCCATATACCTAAACTTAATGCAAATACATACTCTTTTTCAAAGAAAATGCCACTTAGTGGATTTCTGAAGTAACATAATTACTCACCTGCTTTGGAAACTGAAGGGTAATGAAAATAGGACAGGACTTGGCATGTTAGTTCTTTGGCTTTCCTCCTCCTCATAATAAATTATTGTTAATGATTTGGAAGTAAATGTTCGCAAGATAAAGAAGGTATACATTAGCCAAAAAATCCCAAACCAAAACCTGTTTAAAAATATGAATAGTTATATTTTTATTTAAAATATTTTGCTTTGCATTTCAGGGGAAGCAAAGATAAGATTTTTGTTGTTAAGATTAATCCTTATATGCCTGATAAATTGATTACAGTTGGAATTAAACACATGAAATTCTGGCGTAGAGCAGGTAAGGCAACTTTTCAGAATTACAGCGTTTTCTGTTACTTAAAGTATAAATATTGCATCTCTTACAGTATGTTTCATGCATAAAAGGCAAGTGCTTTCTCTGTGTATCTCTCTAAGTTAGCTTTGACCTAGTAGAAATAATATTAATTGGCATTATGGCAGTAGTGGGAATTCATTTTAAGATAAGTTTGCCATGGAGCTATAGCTACGCAAGTAGAAAGGACCCTGGATTTCCTACTGTCTGATTTTATATCTAATAATAACGTAGCACATCTGACAATGTTAGAGTTGCTCTAAAATTGTAGAACAGTTTTTGGAAGTAGAACAGTTTTTAGAACATGTATGTTATAAAGAGGCACAAATATAAATAAATTTAAGGTTATAAAAATCCACATAGAAAAATTCAGACAAAGTACTTGAAGGGGATACATGTGCCAGTTGAGACCTGTTTGTTTAGATACCTCTGTTGAACTTGACAATTAAAAACCAAGGTAAAGCAGCTTGCTTTATCTGCTTGAAAAATTTTGAAGAGTGAAAAATCCATTCCCTGGTATTAGTATGAACTTCATTGCTTCAAACCTCAAAACGTATATAAAGACATGTGCTACAGAAAGCTAGCTTATCTGCTAAGAATGTTCTAATTATTCATGTAGAATTTGTGCACATCAACTCACCTGAGTCCTTGATAGAGATTAATTGTGGAGAGAAAAGTCTGTGATTAAAAAAATGACACTAGTTTTCTCAGTTCTGGCTCCAACAGAAATTAATCAAGGTTGCCTGAGAGCAAGCTGTTGAAATCTATATAAATTATTAATTTTAACAATTGTGCTTGCTATCTATAGAAAGAACAAAGTGTGTCAGAATATTTACTGAACGAATTACTATGAATTCTTTAGAAAGAAATCTTAACTATGATAAAAGCCTGGAGATGGTGATTTTGAATAAAGAAATGAAATTGTTTAAAATGCCTCTTTTCTCTCTGGCATTGCTCAGTGAGCAGGAATCAAATTTCTCTAATGCTGCAGCCCATCTGTGTGAAACTGCAATGGCACACTGGCAAGGCAGTCACCGCGAAACACACTCAGCAGTGTTAATGTGAGGACTAGAGTATCAGTGCACCTTAACAAATGCCAAGTGTCTGAAATCTGCACTAGAGCAGGTGCACTTGATGTGAGAAGTGACACCAAAGTCTATGCTTTGGACTATATTTTCATCAGTGCCAAGTGATGGCAGAGAGGTTCAGAGACCTTGCCTCTGTAAGTACGAGAACAGTATGAAGTGTCAGATCCTGAGGGGCTTCTGTATTATACCACATGAAGTTTCTCTGAGGACTGTGAAAATATAAATCTGATTTTCTAGTCAGAAGTTACCGTGCGTTAGACCTGTCAAATGATTTTAGATGTGGTATTTTAAAGAATTTGAAAATGTATATAGCTGTAACGTTTCTGTTATCCAGAGGCCAATATAGCAAACCTCTAAAATAAAATTAGAAATCCTCTCACTCAAAACATATCGTGAAAAGCATGGGATATCAAGATTTAAACTTTTTTTTTTTCTTTCAAGTTAATTTCATTAGGAATTTCTATGAACTGTGTGGTGAATGTTAAGTTTTGTGTTTACGTGTGAGTTTACAAATGCACTTCCTCTTTGCACGTCTGTGTGGGTATATGTATATTCAAATCCAGATTCAAGTACTAAGTTAAAAGTAAGTTGTTTTTCTTGAAAGAAGCCAAATAGTACAAAAAATTTATTTTGTGAGAACTCTTCTCAGGCTCAATTTTTTGGGGAGCATGCGTGAACCAGAAGAAAAGGACTTGTTGCTCTGGGTAAGCCTGTATAGTTTTTGAAAAATAGTTCTAAGCAAACATCTGATGACTTGTTTTTTGGTTTGAACCAGGCGGAGGACTAATTGGGAGAAAGGGCTGCATAGGTGCATTGGGAAGAACCGATACAATGATGTGTGCAGTATATGGCTGGACTGAAGAGATGGCGTTCTCTGGAACTTCCACAGGGGATGTTTGTATTTGGAGAGATGTGTTTCTCATAAAAACTGTTAAAGCACATGATGGTCCTGTGTTCAGCATGCATGCATTGGAAAAAGTAAATAAACTGCTCATTGTTCTTTGATGTCTGAACAAAAAAGTCTATTAAGTTAGGCCTTTCCCAAACTCAGGAATCCATGGCTTTATTTCCATTACAGAAGAGCCTTGTGAGGTGCAGATTCAAAACAGTGAATCTGCATGTCTCTAATTCTTGTTATGTAGCATGCTGTTTCTCAGACCCTTGTGGTCCAGTGACATCTTATTCAGTAATTTTTTCATGACCTCCTTACTAAAGAAATAATATTAACTTATGATAAATAAAAGTACTTTTTGATTTAAGTATCCGTAAGTTTAATGGAATATGTGAGCTTCTGAGAGAGGAAGAAGATCATACTCTCACTGTTTTGTGCTGTAATTACCATCTACTAGTAGAAGCATTCAATACGTAGATCACAAAGTACTCTCTCCTGATTCTGAACTTCTTTTGACTCAGTAAAGCCTTTAAGCATGTGCTTAAATGTGAATGGGTGTTCCAGTTAGATTACTTGTATGTTTGAAGTTCTGTATATGTATGTGTTCTGCTAGGCTAGACCAAGTTATTCCACCTTCTAATATTTGAGTTTCAGTATAGTAGCTTTGGACAAAGCATGTGTTAGTCATATTGCAAGAACTAAGTTCTCCAAAGGAAAGTACAAATTATTTCAGTATTAAGTATACCTGTTGCTTCATTAAATAGCTTTAAACAATTTTTGAAGACAGAATGTCACAAATATGCATATATTTGAACAATTTAAGCATTAATCATTTTTTTGTGAGTGGTATTAAGTTTGACTTGGAGTAATGAGGTGAAATGCCAAAGGGATATTTAGGCTAAATATCAAGAAAAACATTTCAGTATGTCAGTTAAATTATTTTTCTAGTATGGTAGAAGTTTATTGGTTAGAACTTTTAAATCCAGCCTGTGTACATGGACTGTACAGAGCTGTGCTGCCTTTGTCAGGAGGAGAATTCTATCATTTTGTTGCTCCTGATCTTTTCATCTCTAACATCTGTGGTTCTGTGCATTGCAGTGTTGTATATAATCCATTTTCAGTATGGGCAGAAATGACTGAAAAATTAAGGAAAGATAATAATTGATTATAACTTGTGATTTTTTTTTTTTTTTTTAATTTTTTTTCCCCCTTTTCCTCCCCCGTCCCAGGGATTTGTCACTGGAGGAAAGGATGGAGTAGTAGCTCTCTGGGACGATACCTTTGAACGTTGTCTCAAAACCTATGCCATCAAAAGGGCTGCTTTGGCCCCTGGGTCTAAAGGTAACATGGGCTTTACTCTATTTTTTTATTCTATTTAAAATACTTTCTTCAGAAAACTCTTTCTGTGGAATTGCTTTCCCCAATAGGAGGAAATCCACATTTGACATAACAAATACTAAAAATGATTTTTTTTTTTAAAGCTTTATTGATTCTAAATAAGTCATTTTTCTGTTGGGAGGGGAATGGTATGTTGTAGTGTCTGCACATTTGGTGGATGCAGATCATAATATTTACCTTATTATATGCCTGAATTAATGAATGTAACCTTGAGTCTCTTACCACCCAGGTGATTACTTTTTTTTTTTTTTAAAGTGGCAACCAAAAAGCCATATTTCTAATCATGAAGTATCTTGTCTGATCTTTTTTGTTTTGGAGGAGAAATGGAATTCAGAATTGTAGTTAGTTTTGTAAGGTATTAGTACATTTTATGACTTTATTTTCTGTAAATGCGTATGTCTTTTGAAATTACTTAAGAACATTTTCATTCCTATTATTCCTATTTCTTCCATTTATTCTTGATCTTAGTGCTGATTTACAGTTTTCCTTATTTGACATTCTGGATAGCCTTTTCTTCCCACCCCCGGCCTTAAAGTTACATTTGCTGTGTTCTAAGGTATATGGTTTGACTTTTCAAAAATCATGACTGGAAACACCCATTAACTAAAACACTCTACTACAGAGTATCTCATTCTCATATCTGTTTAATAAAAAGCTAGATTTTAAGGTACCATAAATGCTGGCAGTATAGTAGTATATACTTCACATGCACATTTTTTCACTAAAATTGCCAATGAGTCAGGCTGATTAAACTTCAGAGATACTCAGCTGAGAAGAAAGATTAGTGTCAGTTGGGTAATTGCTAAATACTCCTAAATGAATCCAAACATGTAAGTTCTTCCATGCAGGAGTATGTTTTTACTTGTTTGCTACTGAGTATTTTTTTTCTACAGCGAGAATGTAATGTGCATATGTGTGAAAAATCCTCTTTAAGGTATACTTGAGAATCTTCTGTCTTCTAACATTTTAATGTTGCAGGTCTCCTCTTAGAAGATAATCCTTCTATACGTGCCATATCTTTAGGACATGGTCATATTTTAGTGGGCACAAAGAATGGTGAAATATTGGAGGTGGATAAAAGTGGACCAATAACTCTGCTGGTTCAGGTACATGTTAACTGTTCACTTCAGATTTTTAATGCCAGGCTAGACCATTATGACTCTTTAATAAGCAAAACAGATCACAGAATTTCATGTACAAAATTGTTCAACAAATTCATCCTTTCAAACAGACGAAGATCATATTTCTGTTTAAAAATAAAAAAAAGAAAAAAAGCATGTGAAACAGTGGATCCTCCACCAAATTCCTTATTAACTTTTTCTGAGTACTAATTACCCTTAGTATTTTTAAAAGTTCTTCTTGAGGTTTATTTTCAGATTTTCTTTGTATTTATGTAAAAAAAATTCAGTTTTCTTTGCCATACCAAACAGACTGCATTTCTTAAGCCTTAACTACAAAACAGGCTTTTTACATCGTATCATTGTATTATTTTCTTTCATACTTAAATAAAAATCTGTGGATCTTCAATTCACACTTCTGAGTGGCCAATGCAATGTGTAAAGAACTAGATTTTTTTAAAGAATATATTAGAACCTAAGGTAAAGAAAAAAATCTAGATCATAGAATAGTTTGGGTTGGATGGGACCTTTAGAGGTCATCTAGTCCAACCCCCCTGCAGGGAGCAGGGACATCTTCAACTAAATCAGGTTGCTCAGAGCCCCATCCAACCTGACCCTGAATGTTTCCAGGAATGGGGCATCTACCACCTCTCTGGGCAACCTCTCCCAGTGTTTCACCACCCTCATTGTAAAAAATGTCTTCCTTATATCCAGTCTAAATCTACTCTCTGTTAGTTTAAAACCATTACTCCTTGTTCTGTCACAACAGGCTTGCTAAAAAGATTGTCCCCATCTTTCTTACAGGCCCCCTTTAAGTACTGAAAGGCTGCAATAAGGTCTCTCCACAGCCTTCTCTTCTCCAGGCTGAACAACGCCAACTCTCTCAGCCTGTCCTCGTAGGAGAGGTGCTCCAGCCCTCGGATCATTTTGGTGGCCCTCCTCTGGACCCGCTCCAACAGGTCCATGTCCTTCTTGTGCTGAGGGCCCCAGAGCTGGACGCAGTGCTCCAGGTGGGGTCTCACCAGAGCAGAGCAGAGGGGCAGAATCCCCTCCCTTGACCTGCTGGCCACGCTGCTTTTGGTGCAGCCCAGGGTTCGGTTGGCTTTCTGGGCCATGAGTGCACATTGCTGGCTCGTGTCCAGCTTTTCATCTACCAGTACCCCCAAGTCCTTCTCTGCAGGGCTGCTCTCAATTTCTTCATCCCCCAGCCTGTATTGATATCGGGGCTTGCCCTGTCCCAGGTGCAGGACCTTGCATTTGGCCTTGTTGAACCTCACGAGGTTCACACAGGCCCACCTCTCCAGCTTGTCCAGGTCCCTTTGGATGACATCTCGTCCTTCTGGCGTGTGAACGGCACCACTCAGCTTGGTGTCATCTGGAAACTTGCTGAGGGTGCACTCGATCCCACTGTCTGTGTCATTGACATAGATGTGTGTGAGGATTATTTCTCAGGGAAAAGTTTTCTCTAGCACTAATCACTATAATTTGCACTTTTACTTTAATTAGCAGGGTGAGGTTTTTTCCAGGTGTTCTGTGTTTCTATTCAGATATTTCTTTATTATGCTCTAAAGATATGCATGTTCTCACTCTGTTTTTTTTTTTTTTTTTAACTTCCTTGAATGTATTATTTCATATTTCAGTTTAGAATACAAAGTCATCTGATTCATTGTGTTTTTTCAGGGTCACATGGAGGGGGAAGTTTGGGGTCTAGCTACTCATCCTCATTTACCTATTTGTGCCACTGTAAGTGATGACAAAACCTTAAGAATATGGGATTTATCTCCTAGCCATTGTATGTTAGCTGTTCGCAAATTGAAGAAGGGTAAGATGCTTAGTATGTAAAAATGTTTAACTAAATTCAGTTGACATTTGCTAGCATTATGAATCTTTCAAAAGCAAGACTGAATAAATTCCTTTCTTTGCTCAAATTATTGATGTGATGTTCACGAGTTATGTAGCCCTTAAGCTAATGAATCTGTAAGAAAGATTTCTGTGTAATACTGTTCTTAATATGTTACAATTGCAAATAATCTTGAAGTTGGTGAATTTACAATAAAAGTTGGGCAATTACATAAATCTGCCATGTTGCTTATATTATTGCAAGCTTTTTTGAACAGTGGAGGACTTCCAATCTAGAAATTTTTGGAAGAAATCTTAGAACTAATGTTGAATTTCTCTTCTTTGTGAACTTTAGAAGAATCTGGAATGTCAAGGAAAGAGGGTAGTCATAAAATTCTGACTCGTTGTACGATATAACTAAATCCTATTTTGACAGATGGAAAATCTGTTGTAAGTGACATCATATAAGGAGACTTTTTTTAGGATTAGACCAAACTGGCCTTAACAAGCTTTTAGTGATATATATGCTTTGCTAGACAAAGGAATACAATAGGCTTTATCTGTTTGGCGTTCAGTAAAGCATTTTGATCCAAACCTTACAGGAAGCTTAGCTGAAGATGATTTGGATTGATAAAGTAAATATAAGAAGAGTCATGAGCTGGCACAAGCAGGGATTAAACAAGAAAGTTTCAAGTTGGTGAAGTCTGCTCAAGTCTTAAAGCTGATATTAATATTATTAAGAGTAGTTTTGGCAGAAAAATAAGGACTGTGATGACTTAATGCTGATGAGACACATTTTGAGGTGCTTTGGCTATCTTAAAAACCACCTGTGTACTGTATAGAAAGAGCTGGATACTTCTGCAGACTGCAGTAATGGAAATGAGATAATATTTGGTAATTAATAAAGGCAAGACTCAATAATTGTAAGAAAAATATCTCTTATCTGAGGAGTAACTGAGGAGCAGAAGCCTCAGGATGTTCTAGCTGGTCACAGGATGACAATTATATGTGATAGTGAGGTATTTTGCCCAGAACATATTGAAGTATTCATGTAATTTACAAGAGACTAATCAGAATATTTTTGGTGTAAACTTCTCATCTGTGTCCAGCTGAATGAAATTAAACTGAAAGTTGAGTATGGAGAAAGACGAGCTACAGGGTAATGAATGGGAAGCTTTGTGGTGGAGTCAGCCAAATAAAGGATGACTGTCTACAAGTTAATCAGAGGAATAAATAGTGGGGAAAAATATTTACAGTAATGGAAAATTCTGGCATGGAAACAAATCTATATAAGCTGACCATAAATAAACTCAGATTGGAAGTTAAACTGTTTTTCAAATGAAACTTCATGTGTTTATTAAAAGGATTGTATGACATAGTGACCATGATAGCAAACAACTGGATTCTGTGAGTCCAAAAGGTCTTTTCCAGCTGTATTCTCTTTACCAGAGCAAATGGTAACAAACAACAGGCACCAGATATTAAGAAGGAGAGCAAATTAAAAAATATAGACAATAATGATTAATCTGTATTACAAACGTAGAACATATGTCAACTAACATGCAAATAAATTTAATCTAAGATTCTGGGGTTGTGTACTTGTCGATTTGCCAATAGCTTCTGTGTGCTATCACAGATGTAGAGCTTGGAAATTATCTTGGCAGCACCTAAAAAATGTCATTAGACTATATACTATAAGAATAGCTTTCCATTACTACTGGAAAAATAAATCCAAAAGAGGGATTATGCACTGTAAATGTACCTGAAAGCCATTTCTGTCTTCCTCATAGGAGGTAGATGTTGCTGCTTTTCTCCTGATGGAAAAGCATTAGCTGTTGGTCTCAACGATGGAAGTTTTTTGATAGTTAATGCAGATACCCTGGAGGATCTAGTCTCTTTCCAGCACAGGAAAGATGTTATTTCAGAGATCCGATTTTCTCCTGGTAAGTGATTTAAAATGCAGATTTTTGTATCAAGGTTGTTCAAGCAAGCTAACCTTTAAAAGATAAAAGAAGTACGAGATTTGTAGTACTCTTTTACATGTAACAAATAAGTCAGCAAGACTAATATTAACATTTTGAAAAATATTAGGTGTGAAGTCCTATATTGCTCATTTAAGGATGAGATTATTGGAATAAGTTTGCTCATATAGTAACCTCCTGAATGCAACAGTCAATCTTAAATCATGAACATAGAGCAGCCTCCCTAGGTCTCTAGGGTTCCACTTCATAAACTGCGTAAGTTTGGCTCTTCACTGAGGTTAGTGTTAGCTAATGAGAATGCTTGAAACTGATGTGTTGGAAAGTTCTGGTGGTGTCTTTTTTTCTTCTTTTTCCCCCTACAGTGGTTAGCACTCCCAGTGAGGACAGTTTTTTTTCACACAGTGTAGCTCTTACTTAGGAACTCAAATGTGTGGCCTAAACTAATACTACTACTTCAGTGAAAATACTCTTCTGTAGGAGAAATTTGATGCAAATTACTGATACCAGTTCTCATGCAACTTTCTGGTTACCGAAGCCATACCACTCTCCAAGTGCAATAAGTGCTTAAAATTTCATCAAATGTTTTTTTTTTATTTATGAAGATGTAATGTTGTAATGGTTGTCTACTTCATACTGATTTTGATTATGTGATACGAACATTGGTCTGTCGGGGACGATGTATAAATTAGCAAGCTCTAACCAAAGAAATCTGAGTTGCTAAATTCCAAAATGTACTTGTGTTTAATATACAGGGCACTACAATTTTTGCAAACATCTTGTCTTTCTACTGATGTGTTTTAGGGGCTGGAAAATACTTAGCTGTGGCATCCTGTGACAACTTTGTAGATATTTACAATGTAATGAGCAGTAAACGAGTAGGAATCTGCAAGGGAGCCTCCAGCTATATCACACACATGGACTGGGATGTAAGAGGTAAGCAGCATTCATTCTAAATCTCTACTGGAAGGTTGATTACATTATAGACTAAACACAGTACATCTACAGTATGAATTTATGGTATCACTGACAGATTCGTTTCTTCAATTTATGAATATGCTCACAGCATCTGAATAAATATAAAGCCATGATTTTTACTACTATGCATGTATTTAGAAGTTGTGCGATTTGAAGTAAAATAGATTGTCTCTACAGATTGGTTTGTTTGGGGTTTTTTTTACATCTTCTGTGTTTATTGTTTGACTTCTACTCCTTGAATAATATACTGCATAATGCAGTTGCATCTCTAGCTCAGGAAAACATATCGCTGTTGTCAAAAGTAGCAGAAAGACTGGATTTCCTATCTTCCTGGGTCTAAATATGTGATTAATTTGAATACTAACTTTAGTCCTTTTTCATAGAAAAACAAGGCAGTGCAGTTGTTCAATCTGTTAGTTCCTGCTCTTACTCCTCTACATAATCACTTTTGAAACAGTCCAGTTTAATTTGAAAGAGTGTTACAAGTTAGCTGCTTCTGAGAATTTTGAAAACAGGAAGAAAACAGAAACATTAATGAGAATTTCCCTCAGAAAAGAAGTAGTATAAAGGCAAGCAGAAGTCAGCTGCTTGGAAGCAGCCATTGGCCGGGCAGTCTATGTGCTTCTCAGTCCCAAGAGCACATGCAAACTGGTCAGCCAGTTGCCACAAACAAACTCTGAATTAGACCCAGTACATTTTGTCTACCATCTGATGGGACAACCATAAACAGCAGAGAAAAGTGATGCATTATTATAGTTTTCAAAGAGAGGAGGGACTGTGAATTTAAGGGGTCAAAGGACTCTGATCTTCAGAAGCCCATACTTCCAGTTCCACTGTTTATGTATGCAACTTTTTCCAATAGAAACAAATAATTTGTGTAATGCTGTTAACAACAAAAATTTTAAAATAACCTTTTTTCTTCTTTTTTTTTTTTTTTTTGGTAAAATGGAATCTTCTATGTGATGTGAATGTACAATATGTAACATGTTTTATAGGGAAGCTGTTGCAAGTCAACACTGGTGCTAAAGAGCAGTTGTTTTTTGAAGCTCCTCGTGGGAAAAAACAGACAATTCCTAGTTTGGAGGTGAGGAAACAGACTGCCTTCTTAACTTGTTTGCAAATTAGAGTTGTGATACAACTGTCTGTATCCCCCCGAGAATGATAAAATACATAGGGCATATCACATTTGTCTCTTCTGTTAAGAAATGGACATTTGACTGACTGTTAAACACTCATGAAAATCTCAGTGGACTTCCTTATGCCTCTTTTGATACCATTTAGGTACCTTTGAAAACCTATTGCAGATAGCCCTTCCACAGCCCCAACCTTGCTGTGGAAGACCTCATGTCTATCTTTACATAACAATGCAATATAGTATACATAATATACATAGGCAAATGTAGTATATTGTAGCTATAATATTGATTTGTTTTCTCAGGCATAAAGCATTGGCATAGGGCAGAGAGTGAAAATGGATAATTTTCAAATAGTATTTTCTATGAGATTAAAAGGCAGTGTTGAAAAACATAATTTGTTTTCTCTAGCCTGTGGAAGGGCAGGTAAGGTCAAAAATTTTTTAAATACTTTTAGAGGTTTTGGAACTGGAGGTTAATATAGGTAAAATTAAGGGTCTTTAATGAAATCCTGAATTGTCAGAAAATAAGCGGTTAATGTGTTAAAATATTAATCTTTTAGATGTGACTTATCTTTCAGAGTAAGGACTTTTTCTTGTAATCAAATATGGAAGAAAACTGCCTGGGAAGAAGTATCCTCTGTCTCAAACAGGTTGTTTTTGTAGGTAGAAAAGATTGGCTGGGCGTCATGGACAAGTGTTTTGGGCTCTTGCTGTGAAGGAATCTGGCCAATAATTGGTGAAGTCACAGATGTAACTGCTTCATGTCTCACTAGTGATAGTAAAGTATTAGCCACAGGAGATGACTTTGGATTTGTGAAACTCTTTCGATACCCTGCTAAAGTAAGTAATTTTCAGCTGTTCATGGAGAAGATTGATTAATAAAACTGCGTTTTCAAAACTGTAAAAATTCATCACTCAGAACAAAATAGTGCTTTTATACTTTTGTCCTTATGATCAAAGAAGACATTCAATATTACACTGCAATTTGCAATGCATTAAACCTGCAATTAGTAAGAATGACCGTTCCAGGTCAGACTAAAGAGACATCTCATGTAGTGTCCTATCGCTGACAGTGGCAAATGCATATGAAAAACTGTAAGAATGGGAATGGGACAGGCGCTGTCTAATAGTATCTTAAGCATTAACATCCTCAGTGTGGTTTTTATCAGTGTTGTTTTTAGCCTGTTAAGCTATTGTTTTGGAAGACAATGAACATTTGTCCCTCACCTTCATTTCACTCATGATTTCACAGATCTTCTTTCTGTCCAACCTTGGTCATTTTTCTCTGAGATGAAGAGCTTTAATATTGAATTTAATCATGCATTGTAGAAAAGCCATTCCAGAAGCACATTATATTTTTACTGCTCTTCTAGAACCTTTCTAGTTTTCCTGTATATTTATCAGTAAATAAGTCTTCAGTTTTGAATATTTTGCCATGCTAGGGTTGGTAACAATGCACAAGTATGTACTCAAAATACTCTGTGTGCATTTTATTCTTAATGTGTTAGATTATTTTCTCTCTTAGGAAAAATGATACAGTGTTTATTGCTGGAATCTGTTTATAAACACATTCTTGCACGCTTGGTATGGAAATATGGTTAATGTTTCATGAAGTTGCTATAGGAGAGGAACTTGGCAAATCATGTGATACATACAAATGCAAAACAGCTGAAGCATAAACTGTAAAGAAGTTAAGAACATGTTGTACACTGGCAATTCATTTCAGTTTTATCTAGCAGACTGGTTAAATTTGATCGGTGCCTTTTATTCTCCCTTCTTAGGGAAAGTTTGGAAAATTTAAGAGATATGTTGCTCACAGTACCCATGTAACAAATGTCCGTTGGACCTATGATGACAGTTTGTTGGTCACTGTTGGAGGAGCAGACACTTCTTTAATGTTGTGGACTTATGAGATGGAAGGACATCGGGATAGCAGGCAGTGTGACAGTGAAGAGTCTGATCTAGATTCTGAAGAAGATGGAGGTCAGTAATAATTTATAAAACTACCTGGATTATGCTCTCTCAGGATGACTTTATTAATAGAAAACTGCTAATTTAGAAACAATCAAGTTTTATATTTGATTGTTTTAATCTTAAATAGTGAAGATGCTTCAAAAACGTTAAGTAAAATTTCAGGGAAAGGACTGATAAACTGTTGTGAAGAAAATGATAATGAAGTTTTTGACTTACTGCTTTGAGTCAGAGTATATAAAAAGACTCTTGACATCTTTTAAATGAAAAAATATTAAGTGCCAATTATAGGTAACTTCCAAAAATCTATACAGAAAAATACATGAATCACATTTTAGATTTGGGCACTAATTCTAATGGAATTATGTTGAAATCTGTATAGTGTGAGATCATAGTTATCTTGATGTTATAGCATCTGTTTCCATAACATGAAAGCATAGTAGACTGAGGCAGACTGATGTTCATATATGGAACAATCTATTGCAAGATCATAATATCAATAATTATAAAGTGTTAATGACATTTCGTAGAACTAATTTCTGTTGGTTTTGCCATACTTAACGTTTTCCTTTTCACGTTGTAATTCCAAAGGTTCATGAGCCTCCAAACTTGTTCTCTCTGCTCCCAAGTGCAATTTTTCTTCCTTGTCAATTCCTTAGTCTTCAAGCATTTTTAAACTATCACTGCTACTCTTTAAATAGTTCTGTGTAACAAATAACTTCAGTTTTCACTAAAATCTGCTAAATAACGAAGGAAACACTTTAAATATTAGAGGCATATTAAACATCCATTGGAAAAGAATTTTTATGCCCTGTCTTTCTGCTTAAAAATATTTAAGACTATATCCGCAAAGTAACTTAATTGCCTACAGGGACACTTGGTCAACTTTAGCTTCCTGAATCAAAAATTGCAATCTTCAGATCTTTTGTTCAGCTTCTGCCTGTGACCTGTTAGCACATCTTTGCCCAATAACCTTCCCTAAGCTCTGGTGCTTTACGCAGAACCCTCTTAAGCTATGTGTTCAAAAATACTCTAAAAGAAAGAGAGTTCTGTTCAGCTTTACAAGAAAAGACATTGACATCTTTTTCCACAAAAGTTTCTCTTCATCAGGTCCTATTGATTTAAGTTAGAGTTAAGAACTAAGTTGGCATTAGTAGTCTCGTTTTTTGAAAAAAAACGGAGGGTAAGTAACAACCCTATCACTATTTAGCCTTTTTTCCATGTTTACTATAGTAAACATCATCTTGATGTGCCTGACTGTCCCTAAGCATTGTGTAAGAATCCTGTGTGGACCTATAGATTCCATCCTAACGGATGCATCCTGAAATTGAGAACAACTTGGCCCAAAATCTTCCAGAACTTAACAGCAGGTGTTATGTAGCAAGGTCCTTTGTTAGTGACCCTGAGTTACGGTCAACCAAGCAGAAATGGGATAGCTTTGAATGTCCCTTGAATCTTTGTTAATCATTTTTTCCACAAAGATATTGTAGAGAATTTTTTTCTTAGAATGTCTTTTATTAACAGTGTTCATTATTCCCAGCTATTTTCCTTCTGTTGTGTATTTATGTTACTAGTAATACATGGTATAATTGTTCTTGTAGTTCAGTACATTGTTGAAAGCTGCACAAATTATGATTTAATTTTTTTTTCTGGTATCTTGTTTTGATACTGTTCATTCTAATTTTGTTAGGTTATGATAGTGATGTGACAAGGGAAAATGAAATTAATTACACCATCAAAGCCTTATCAACAAACATTAGACCAATGTTTGGAATTAAGCCTCATCTGCAACAAAAGGAGCCAACCTTAGATGAAAGGTAATTGCTAAATTACAATTCTAGCCAAGAAAGCAATCTGAAAAGATGATTAATAGTAAAACTTAATTATATTGGAATAATATATGCATCTTAAAAGGGTATATATAAAAAGAGTGGAAATATTTCTTGGGGAAAAAAAAAAACCTGAAGAGGAGTCTTGCCTAAGGACTCGGCTGTATCTCTTTTTCAGAGAGCACAAAAGACTACAAATGATGTATGTGTATTATTATGTTTGGGGAGTTTCTTGAGATAATTGCTATTTGCTGGTGTTTGATAATATGTTCCTTTTGAAACTTAAATACCAAGTGGCATCTAGTGATGGCATTATAGGCATGAACCTGTATAATTGTTTTATTGAAAGACATCTCTCAATTTTTTGTTTTCACCAACAAACTAATCTGATTAATTCAGCTGTAATTTCTCCTTGCATTGTTTCTGTCTCCAGGTAACTTCTACCTTTCTTTGAAAAATTCTGTCCACAGTGGTTCTGCAGTTTCTATTAATGAGTCTTGGAAAATGAAGTTGATTTCTTTGCAGTGTTGGTTGTATTGCTTGGTTCACTGTCATATGCTTTAGAAGAGAAGGGGGTGGGGAGCAGAGTAGAATAAGACCAGCAGGTAAAGTAGATGTGAAATAAGAAAAATATTTTATAACCACTAGAACATAATCTGTTGTAGAATCTGCAGCTGAGCACAGGACCCTGAAAGTTGTTGGTTGTTGTCAGCAAAATCAATGTGGACAGTGTATGTGAGGGAGAAGGAAAGAGAGATTCCTAATACGATACAGTGGCAATTGAGGAACACTAGTATTAAAGAGAGAGAAGTGAGGAAAACACAACACAGTATAATTAGGAGTAAGGATATAGAGAAAGAGCAGACTGGAAACTTCCTGCCGGAATGTGAGGAGTTCTGTTATGATGCATATGCCTCTTTCTGCAGTGAAGCTGACAGATCTGTGATGCCCTTGTTGAGAAATGCAACCTGACGTTTGTGGGAGTTTTGGTGTGGTGTCTTCTGTTTTCAAGCTGTGTTGCTGAAGGAGAGAACATATAAAGCTGTGGATTCCTGTCTTGCATTGAAAATGCAATTCTGTTTATTAATTAGATGTATTTGATGTGGAAATCGAAAAGAAATAATGTGCATGGTATCAACATTTTGGATTTATATTTAGTCTTGTTAATGAAAGCTGTGATTAAAGAATTTTTTTTTTCGATGAAATTATAAACCTCTTGTATTTCTTCCAATAATTGTTTCTGGAAGCTGAGTGAGTTCGTTTTTCAGTTTCAAATAAAATATTAAATAAAATTAATTGTGTAATAAGGTAACTAGGTTCTGATTCAAAATGCATGAAAGTTCATGAAAGGATTCCATTGTCTGCATTGTTTGAAAGTTTGGGGCCCTAAAACTTCAAATAAAAGTTTTTGTGAAGAGTAAAACCAGAATATGGTTACTGTATGCATTTTAACTTCTGTTCTGCTGAAGTTAATATTGTGTAAGACTGGTAAATGTTTTAGTAAGTCTACTTTCATAGGTACTAATTTTTATTTTATTTTTGTTTCCTTTCCCTTTTGCTTCCTGTGAAGGCAGGGGGTAGTGAGGTAAGTTCATTTACAGAAAGTCCAGGATCAAATGCATTTTAATAATTTAAGCTGCTTGGGAAAGCAGTTATACTTTAAAATAGAAGTGAAGGCTTTAACTCTTTAGTATTAAATAGTAGCTTGTTAATGGGTAGAAAAGGGATAAGGTACAAAAAATAAGCCCAGTTCTCAGTCTGAATAGACGTGAGTGGGTGCTAAATAGAGTATTTGGGGGAGGTGATCAAATCTCATCCTCTTTTCCTCAATACTTTGGATTGGCTAAGGAACAGCTTGACTTACATAGCTATAGTCAGAGAGCTCACCTAACTGTTTGTGGACTTCTGTAAGGCTATATCACAGTGTTAGTGCAGAGGTCCAACATGGAATAAAAAGTGCAGGGAGCATGTTGCAGAGATGCCTGAAGTGGCTATACGAGCAGTATCACCACATCTGCACCACTGTGTTTGGAGTTAATAAAGCTTCAGGGACAAGAGGAGCATTATTGACTTGGCTGCAGCATTTTACCAATGTACCTATACTACTTAAGGAGCTGAGCTACTACTCCACGTAACATTAATATGATATGCAGAGTCGCTAGCTTAGGTGCCTGCATTAGGTAATGAGTTTTTGCACATACTCTATTTAGAATACATGCATACTCAAAACCATATGTTTTTGTATGCATACAAATGCTCTTACATTTGTAGTGCAACAAATCCTTGGGCTGTAGGCCATCCTTCAGACTTGTAGACTGAGCTGCCAGGACTCTTGGACCTACACTGGTTAAGAAAGGAGAACCCCTCTCATACCTACCCAGACCCTGTTTTCACGATGAAATCATATCCCTGTGGTGACAGATGATAGAATTGTGTTAATCTCTGTGTATCCTTCTGCAGACAACTTGACATAATCAAGAAAGCTACTGTCTTCATCTGAATTTTAGATCATACCACTAACAACTTTTATCAAATTAATTCTGTTTTTTGGCTTTTAAAAAACGTATATCTGAAAAGTCAATGTTTCTGTATATGTTACACAGAGTGTGTATAACTTATAATAGGCTTTTCTTCTGTGTTTGTTCATTTACAGGGTGTTTGGGTGTACTGCTCAGAGTGTGGGTAGTACATCTGTGGCATTCCATGTTATGCGTAGGCTTGTCATATTGACTGCCAAACATTAGAAGAGATACGTTTCTTGTAGTATCACTTTATTGGAATCCGTGTATTCTCAGGATCACAGGTACACACCAGTGTAGAATGTGCTTCTGAGAATGTCTTTCAAGTAATTTTGACTCTGTGTATGAAGGAGATTCCTTATCAGAAAGTATCTAAATCTCTTTTACTATTGAGTGTAGGAAGAGTTTAATTCCCTGTGGGAGAAGACAGAGATAACTCCAATAAAGACTTTAAAGACCATACAGAAAATGCAGTTGGTACTTAGGAGTGTTGTACCTGACAGCTGAAATGGAATTCATAAACACTAGCTGAGTAGCGAAGTTCCCTCTATATAGAAGGAATATGATTTTTAGAAAGGTTAAGTTGATCTCACCTTTTATGTTGTAAGTAGTAGGATGATGTAGGAAATCAGAGTTATAGGCCAATTAGTCCATCAAAAATTCAAATACACATCACCAGGTGGGTCAAAAGAGTGTCACTCCTTTTTGCTAACGCTCTGCAGAAAGGAATGAAAGAATCCCTAGGGTCAGAAAGGGAGAATAAGCAAAAGAGGCTGCAAAACACTGCAGTCTGGTGGGTAGGTAACTTCTTTGTGAAGTATGGAACATGGGATTCTGCTTTTGGTGTAGCATTATCATTTTCTTCCAGTGACCCTTAATTGAAAATGTAAATGCAATTCCCAGAAGGTGAATCTGATCAAAGGATTATTTTTGCTCTCCAACAGAGGTAGTGTTCTGTTCTCAATTTCGGTTTTTGCTCATAAATTACTTTTTCTCCTTGCAAAAGCAGAAGTTAAAAAAAAAATGTTTTCCCCTTCACAAAAGCACAGTTTTACTAGGAGCAACAGACATTTCTGTGTCTTAACCATTTTTATGGCTAACACATTAGCTTGAGATACGAGTTGCATCAACTCGTACTTCTAGGCAGCACTGCCTTTATTTTTTCCTTCAAGACAAACATGATTTTCCCCATTTTTTCTGGGACGCCTTTTTTTGGTAACAGTCTTATCTAAGCAATTCAGTATTTGAAAGAAAATAATAAGGTAAATATTTTTGAAGCCTTAAATGTTTAGGTCTGTTCTATCTACTGCTTGAGACAGTTGAAGAAGAAAACAATACATGTCATAAATAAGTATTTAGAGGTGAATGGAAGAAATAGTTTGCTGCACACCGAGCCTGAGCTTTCAGGCATAACCGTTTGCAGTTTTATTGCACAGTTCCCATAATTAAAAGGCAACTGGGTTAGTGGGCTCTAGTACTAGAGAGCACACATGACCAGAAGATGCAAGCTATAAAAGAATACAGCTGGCAGTAAGTCATTGTAATATGGCCCACTGATGCTGAGAACGAAGCGAAATGGTAGCATGGCAGTGGTAGTGTTTGGTCTTTGTTTTGGGACAGTAAGGAAAAATGTAGATGGAAGACCTACAAGACTGTGTTAGCTTCAAAGCTATTTCAGCTTGCTTTTGATTGTGTATTTGAAAACCATTATTTTTCTTTGCTCTTCTAGGTACCCATACAGGAATGTTCACTTTATTGGAAGTTTTGAAATTTAAAAAGTTGCTTTAGAGACTTTCTTTCCAAGTCTTAAATCAGCATTACTTCATTATATGATACAATGATTTGAAAAAATCAGCAGACTGTTGGCTAGAGTTGATAAGTCTGAAAGTTAGTTTTAGCTTTCTTTTAGAAGTTAGCGGGACAGGTATTTTTTGAAGAGATGCTAGTGCTGTAAAAGTTGGTATGTTGAATAGGAATATGTTAAACAAATTTCAGGCACGTTTTTCGAACAACTTATGGATGCTAGAACTCAAGATTTCATTCAGATTCAATTGGTTTAAGGTCTGCTTGCAGTGTCGTTTAAGGCTACCTCTACTAATGATATGCCATTCTCTAGTCGTAGAATTACCGTAATATATCATTGACATTGGAATACTTATTTTAACTTCTATTGAAAACACAAAATGGCATTTGCTGTGAGGCAGCACTTATGTCTATAATTTGAATTATATATAATCTCTGAATAGTACTATTACAAGATAGTATTTTTATGTGAAAAGATGTCTACTGTGTGTCTAAAGTGGCTCTATCCTTTACTGAAAGTTCTCTCCTAGTATGTTTTTGTGCTAGGTAGATTGCTCAGAAGAAAAATCCATCATGGATGGTTAGTTTTGAAAACACTTCTGGCTTAGCTACTCCCTGAACTTTAAATCACTGGAGGTTGGGAGAAGAATCTGGAAGCTATCACTCTATTGTTATTCTGTTCTTATACTCCCTG